ATTTGTGGTACTAATCAAAAAAAGTTAATCAAAGAAAACGTTCGATAATTGACCGTTAACAGCCAGTAATGGTGCAAAAACTGCCATTACATGATGCTATTAACTGCCTATTTTCGGACAGTTTCCAGCCTGTTAAAAAATGTCAATTTAAGGCATTAAAACGTCCTCGTTTATAAGGTGTAAAAATGACCATTTAATGGCTATTTCATTAGTTATTAAATGGCATTTAATAATTCTTTGATGTTAAACGGCTTTAATATGGCAGAATGATCGGACGACGCTCTACGTCCATATTTTTCTTTACGCAGCATTGAAGACCGCAAAAATTTTCTTTTTCTTATTATGAAGGCTTTGTTTTTCTTAGATGTCGCACTAGTCTCCAGTCTACTTTGGCCAGCGCCAAAGTGCTTTCATGACTTAGCGAAACATGCTCTCTACCATTACGTTTGATATTTGGAATAGTAGCAGTGTAGATATGATAAAACTATCTATTTGTTTGTCATGGACCTGACATTGCTAAAGGGCGCAAGTACTGAAGTAATGGAAAATGTGGCATTTTTTGACACCAAGAATTTGACATTGTTTTTTGTTTATTATGTTTTGAAAAAATTGAATTCCTGTCAAAGTTGAAAAAACGGACTCAGAGTGAAAGAATACGCCGTCCTGTATCGGTTTTTATTAAGGATAAAACAAATACAGTTTTAAAACGAACAATACGGTTAATAGAAAGCAACGGTATTTGTGGTGGAGAGAGAAGAAAGAAGAAAAATAGAATTTTATACAGAAAAGCACAAAGGAATAATCGATTTGTTTTCAGTTTTACTTTTACAAACGTATGCTGGAAAATAATTGTGTTTTTATTCGATTACTCTCTGGAGCGGATATTGATCTGTTTGCATCAACAATCATTAACCAGTTTCTGAGAATGAGAAGAGTGAGTCGGGTGCAACAGTAAAATTAGTGCACCAAACACTGAAAAACATTTTGTGATACAGCAGATGCAAGTTCGTGTTGCATTAGAGATAAATAAAGCTCAAACACACATGAAAAGACCAGAGGATCTTATGATTATTATATGTGCCCAAGCAATAAAACTTCTACATCAGTAAAGGCCAGTAAGTTTTGTGCACAGTGCCCGACCACACAAGAACTTAGATAGTAGATAAATACGTTCGAAGAGATAAAGAATGCTAAATGTATTTTGTTTGTCGAAGTTGAATTGTGCTTTGAACTCTTTAGAACTTTCACCCTCTGTTTTCAATTTCGAAGGATTATGGAAAGAAGAATTTGGCTTTGTTTTTATTTGTTTATTTTGAAGAACTTGAATTCCTATCAAGGTAGAATCCTTGAAAAAAGTGTTCTCCATTGTCTGCTAAATATCTTTTCTTGATTTTATATTAAGGAATTTTTCATCAGTTATATTTCTTTTAGATTTAATTACTAGTCCAATGCTACTTACTTTCAGAAAATTCCCAAAAAATACTGCAAAACCATGTCAGTATTCCAGAGACGGTTTGGACGAAAAAGTTCATCATCAGTAAGTGCAGGAGTTCACACAGTAAAGGAATTCTATCAGCCTTTGAGATTCTCCTCTGGTTACACTTGCATGAAGCACTAAATGTATTATGTTAATCAAAATGAGAATAATGAATTCTCTTTGTAAAAATTGCATGCTTCGATTCTTGTTTTGTTCCTTCATCGGATCCCGTTAACGCATATTATTTTTTTGCAAATTTGAGACTTTAACTCATTCTTTATCTATTATGCATACCTTTCTCTTTCGTGTTAGATTTTTTCCAGCTTATACCAACCGATTTTGAACAGGACTGTCTAGTAATAATTTGGATAATCTTACAGTCTAAAGTATTTAAATTGAGACATCAGAAAGAAAAACATGATGATGATAATACAAGAAGACAGATACTCACCTATATACTTTTTTTTGTAACTTGATCACTCAACAACTATTTAAATACGAACTATTCTTCTCATATTAAACTGTTTTCAGTAGACTTGCGGAATTAGGTAGAACTTAGCATAATTGACAATTTACTAGTACTAGTAAACGTTATCTGTGATTACAGTATCTTTTTGTAAGCTTAATTTCATTTTTAACTATGCGATTTTATCTTGCTTTTATTTAGAAAAAACGTTTGAAAACAACAGACACATTGAATGTTGAAAATGTAATTATAAATCAGTACAGTGATCAATCTTCATCATACGACTCAATCTCCTCCTCAACGTCTGGTACGTCATTTGATTGCCCCCCGCCCATTATCGATATACGATGTCTAAATTTAAATAGTTCAAAAGATCGTTTATCGATATCGTCTACGTCGTCTTCACTATTATCTCGAACATTTTCACAACAACAACAATTTCACAATGATTGTTTCTCAAATTACAGTGCCACTATCAATAACAATAAACATTCAAAAAAGTCAAAATTGAAAAAACCGGTCAATGAGAAAGAAAATCAGTCACCCTTTCAAACAGATAAATTAATCGTAAATAATATGGACAAGGCAAGTCACCTCACTTTTTCATCGTACGTTTTTTATTTCAAAAGTTACTTTCTTTGTTTTAGACGAACATTCCATCTGCTGAGGATCTGTACGAAGAAGCATTATCGAATTACAAATTAGAACTAAACTTATCAAAGTAAGTTTTTTTTAGTCATCTATTTGTTTGCCATGTCAGTAATATGGCAAATTACTTTGTAGAGTAAATGGCAATAAAGAACAAGAATGTCAAATAACAGCATTTATTGGAAATACATTGGCGCTATTAGGACAATATGATAACGCAATCGAATGGTTTCATACATATTTAAATTTAGCAAAAGAAATATTTTGTAAAGTAAGAAGAATATGAAATGATTCAAAGATGAGCAAGTCCAAGTCCGGACCAATAGACTTTTTCACACGAACTGAGACTGAAAGCGTACAAGACTTGGTGGACACTAGCCTCTAGTGGACTGGGACTGAAAAAATATTGGACTTGTCCATCTCTGCTTTCGTATAAAAAAAGAAAACAAAAAAGTCCTGTCTTGTTCGTGCTTTTTAACGTTCAAAAAAAGTTTTATTGTTGTCTTTTTTTGTTACTATAGTCATGTAAAGAAGCAGTTACTCTCTGATAAAAAGAAGAAAAAGAAAGGAAGTGGAAAACAATGTATGCTGTGGCCGACATCGGAGTTAAAGCTTAGCGGACCGGGACTGAAACATTTTAGCTGCATAGAGGACTAGGACTGATTCGGACTTGGCCTCTAGTGGACTGGGACTGAAAAAATTCTGGACTTGCCCATCTCTGAAATGATTAGTATGACTAGTTTAATTTGTTTGGAAGAGACAGTTATAAATTTTACGGTTAACAACACCGGTGCAAAACCTGCTGATGAAAAAATTTCCACATATTAAAAACCTTTAACCGTTTCTTTTTTTGGCCGCCTTCTTTGTTATTATTTTTAAAAAAATTGCTGTTACACTTTGAAAAACTATTTAACGCCCTTCAATTTCCGTTACAAACTGGAATTGGCTTCTAATCATCTAAATGCAGAATTTAATTTTATTCATATACGGACTTTGTCCTTTAAGAAGTTCTTCGAGGACCTGCGTTTGTTTCATATTTATAGAATTTAACATGATGTTATTCGGAGATGGGTAAGTACGAGTATATACTCGTACTCAAGTACAAAGTTTCTAGTACTCGTACTCGGGAGTTTTTTAACGAGTACTTCCCAAAAAAAACCTGATGACCTTTTTTTTTGCTATTTGCGTTAAAAAATCGATTTTTTCGGATTCACCGGCTTCTTCAAAAAAAAAATACTCGAGTACTACCCGAGTACTTTTCAGAAAATACTCGTACTCCTACTCGTACTCGATCTTCAGTACTCATACTCAGAAATTCGTGTACTCGCCTATCTCTGATGTCGTCAATGAATAATATGTCTGGACTGACATATTATATAGACGTTTATTTGCCATATATGAAATATTCGCAAAAGAGACATAGACCTGAGACTGAATTTCGTAGTCTTCTTCAGAGCAAAGTACTGACAACAACAGATGACATTTTAGTAGGACATGATACTTATGTGGATTTTTACAATTCCAAAATTGCTAAACTTTCTACATCACTAAACATTTTTATTGACAGTCATCCGTGTACACGGTTAAATAGATGCAAAGTACTATACAGGGTTCAATGTTAACATAAAACTTTCTTTCTACCTTCAGTAAACTGAGAAAACTTTTTAGAATTTCTTAGTAAAAAATTTCATTTATTTTGGTTTTGAATTGATTTCCAGGATGAAACAGCAAAAGCATTATATTATCTTGGATTAATGTATCATTTCAAAGGAAAAGAAATGTTGAATATATGTGGACAAATAAATAATGATATTGAAATTCTGTTACGACAATCCATAGAATATTATACGTATGTATTAAAATATCATTTAAACATCTACTTAAACATTTCGAGTGAGGATAATTTTGAAATTAATAATGAAATCATAGTCAGTGATGAAAGTATACAAGTCTCCAATTTTATAGGTAATAAGAAAAACGAATAATTGTTAAATCTTATCGGATGAAGGTCATTCAATATGATTTCTCTCGTTTTATGCCTTCTGCGTAGAACTTTCGTTTTTGTTCAGGTCTATATAATTACCACTCTCATTGAACTAGATTATTTCACTTGTTGTCTTCTTGTTACTGGAATTTTCCTATTATCTTGAATGACATTTTTGTGGGGTAACGATATATTATCTTAAAGTTTCCTATAATTTCTTAACTTCAAAAGATAGTGTTTAAAATAGCAGTTGTTTTCTCTCTCTCTATTACAATCGGCAAATATCAAAGTACAAACTTTATTTTTTAAGGTAAAAATGTTAATATATACTTGTATATATATTAACATTTTAACATTAAGTAGATATTGTTTAGTTTTTCTTTACATCATCTACAATTTAATAACTGAGATGTTTTATAAACTTATTCTTATTTTTCACAATTGCACATCATCTTTTATTTTTCTGTTTTATTTCTGTTTTTCTCTTTATATTCTTACTTAAAACAAAAAAATGTATCTAAAGTATGTATAACTAATCGTATATATGTCCATTCATATTTACTTCAACAAAAATAACTCGCAATCAATTTAGTTTAAAGAAAAGGTAATTAGGTTCTGTGCATGTATTTCATATCGTGTCAAGATAAAAAAAGAAGTACATCCGGAATGATTGAAATTGAGAGATTAGCGAACATGATATACATTTGTTGATAAATACTTCATAACTAAAAACATCCGAATTATTAATTTAGTTTGGATAAAAACAACAAGGCTATTTTAACTAATGGCTATACCCGTCATAAAAAAAATTGAATAAGAATCATATATTTGTACTATTATTTTTCTCGTGATACGTTTTACCAATGACATCTCTTCGTTTTCTTTTTTTCTCTTCTTTTTTGTATCATTTTTCCGAAAATAAATAATAGTGGCTAATAAGTCCTAGAACAGATTATAAATATTATTGGACGTTGTCTGTTTATTTTGTTACTCGATTCCTAATTCCGATGGATTATTATTACCTGGTAAAAATGTGAATTATAAATTATTGAAACGGATTCTGTTGATATATAAGAATAGGAATAAAGAAAAACAACAACTATATTGATGATGATAGAAGAGAGGGAAAAGAGTTGATAAGACATTTTCGACGATTTGTATACTAGAATATGTTAGATATGATAATAAAAAATATAGTCAACGTTATGAAAGTTTTATATGTACGATAATAACTACGTTGAGACCAACACTTTGTGTTGAGATATCGACAACTTAGACGTGTGAATTTTCACTTGTTGAAACAAAAAAAATAGAGTGTTAAACAATGCAATTTTTTGTCTTTTGTGTTTTGACAAATATTTAGGAAAAAAAAAAATGAAAAAAATTTTACGTATGACTTCATTTCTTTGTGTCCTGTATATTAGGAAATAAAAAAAAGTATGAGTGGGAGGATCTCTTTTCCTTTAAATGAAAATTGAAATATTAATATGAATTCAACGAATATTTATATAATGATCTCATCATCATTTTATGAACATTTCTTCCACTGTATATCTCGAAGAAAGATCAAACAAAGTTCAATATGGATACTATTTCGATGAATGAAACGATGATTTTTATACTACAGGATTAATTCTTCGCCACAGATATACTCTTAAAAGGCTATATCACCTTTATATTACTCTCTCATTAGATCTTTTTACCTTCTAGCTTCTAAGCACTATGTTGACAAGGATTTTTCTTTTTATCCGAAGCTCTGATGTTACAATATACAATTAATATTCACTACTAACTTTTCTTTTTTCGAAATATTTCTCTCTCCAAGTATGTAAAAATCTGTTACCACCTTTTTTTTGTAGATTTTCTACATCAAATAAGGTAAAAATAAAATAATAATTATAGAGTGTAATTTGAAAATATCCTATATACCATAATTGTTCTTAACCAATTTGAATGTGTACAACACATCACAATTATCAAATATAAAGCTTATGACAACGTTAGAACTAAATTTTGTTCTCTGTTCATGCATTATTTTTTAATTTAAAAATCAAAATTGAAAAATATTTTCTATGATATGAAGTTTTGTTCTTTTTAAAGTAACTATTCAAGTGTTGCATTTTGTTTTATATTTAAAAACAAAAAAGTTTGAAAGAATGAGATCGTTATTATTAGAAAAGCAAAAAATTGTAGTCTAATTATTTGTTTTTTATATAATAATTTTACATAGAAATCTTCAAATATTAATTATATCCATAACGATATTAAAATAGATGTATTTATGTAAATCATGTAGAGATGTTTTTGAAAAATTAGACCAAAAAAATCATTCCGCGAAATGAATGATGTCACGAGTGTAGTTAACCATAAAAAATCATTAACATGACTACTGACTTGAATGCAAATATGTTTTTTTTTGAGATATTTTTGTCTGCTTTTTTTTTTTTTTTGTTACACGTCTGCACATCGTTGATACTCATAAAATTAACATGCCCACGCACTTGAATGCAAATATGTTTTTTTTTTCCATATTTTTGTCGGATTTTTTTTTTTTTTTTTTTTTTTATGAAAAAATCGGAAACGGAAGTTTGTGTTGATCAGAGAAAGCTTGGATTTAATTATTTTCACGTTTCACTAGTTTTCATATCTAAAGAGATAAAAGCATCTATAATTTTGTTTGATTTTTTTTTCAATGTTTTGACATGATAGTGTTGTTATTTTTTCTGTCGTCTTTGAAATCTCTCTAATTTATTGCATCGTTCGCATATTTTTTTTTTTTTTTTTTTTTTTTTTTTTTTTTTTTTGTTTTTTGGGTTGTTTGAATCGATACTTCTAGATAATTTTTTTGTTATCATTCTAATCGCGAAGAAGAACAATCAATTTAGTGTGGAAAAAATATACACATACACGTGATAGAACAATTCGAGAGAGTTCATACTAAAACTAGTTGACGTAGTTAAATATAAAATGCGTCGAAATCAATTTTCATTAACAATATTTTACATGATATATTATGCGTACATTTTTTGTTCATTTTTTTAAAAGCTACTAGTACAAATTAGAATAGATTAAATAAAATTTGTTTCTATTTTTTCAAAATTAAAAATTATTTGTTAGTCTTCCAGAACATATGTAAAATTCATTTTTGTAATAGTATTTAAGAATTTAATGAATCGAAAAACATAAAATTAACAGAAGAACAAAAAACAACCATTCATTTTACTAATTTTTATCTAAAACAGACCTGTATATTTATTGATTCAATGTAATTGTATAACAGTTAGTTAACAAAAACTCATTCT